TGTGAAGATGAAAAAGTCATCCTCCAACTTCTCACACAAATTTACCAAGGATAAGTTACTGTACCTCTGAGACATGACTTTACGAACGTCACGTCCGACTCCCTCAAGAGGTCTATCGACAAAGATACCAGTTGAAGGAAACGAATCCGTAGTGAATATACCCAGATCGTTTTCAATCATCTCACCAAGCTCTACCTTTGTGAACAGATTGGTATACCTACGAGAAATGAGACGGCGTGTCTATGTGAGTAAATTAGTACTAGTCTGATACAGCGCAAAGAACGATGGTTGAACTTACAGGCATATCAATACCAAGAATAATACCCAAATTAGATGCCTGTGACGAAGGCTGTAGATTACCTCTGACAGTAGACAGGTTGGAGCCTCCGTGGGTACTACCACTATCGAGATGACTGAGATTACCGCCTCCACCATTACCCAAAAGAATTTGAGGGGTTGAAGGGGTTGGTGGTGATGGTGACGTACGTGATAGTCGTTGTGTGGATACAGAAGGATTACTTGAAGAAGTACTTGAAGCCAATGGGGCCTTGGTACCCGGCAAATGGCGTTCCGAGCGTGGAGAAGGTGCGGAGAGTGTCAAGGGCTGAGTTGTGAGATGGGCAAAACTATTACCGAGTGGCTGGGTTTTCAAGGGTTTCTTACCCATGGAAGGGATTACTGGGGGAGTTTGTGGACGATATGGCATGTCAGGAGACATCCAACCAGGATTGGCGTCACAAGGAGTACTATTACCAGGAGCTTGCGTGTTATCTGCCTCTACCTTGGCCCTACCATTATCGGTGTCACAAGACGACGTTGGGAGCTCGTAGCTGGGTGGATGAGGAAGCTCCGGGTGATCCTTCAAGTACGTCTTGAATGCCACATCAATAGTAGGAGGTTCCATTTCCCTACTACTGTAGGCTACCAATACCTCCCTGTATTCATTCAAGAATTCCATAATACTCGCAAAATCTGCAAGGACATATGGCTTCCTAACATCGTGAGAGAATTTTTTCTTCAATGTAATTGTAATAAATACCAGGGGAGGGTCCAGCGAGCGATCGATATCTCTTCTGCATACCGTAAAAGCAAACCTAGCCTTCAATTCAGAGTTGGCATCTTGAAAGCGAGTCACGAGCTCAGGTGGTCGCTGTGTACCGGTAGTGAAATAGAATACCTTGGGGTGTCTCAAGATAACGGCAAAAAAAGGAATTAAGAAACCCTCTTCTTGTTTCCAACCATGGCTAGAAAATTTCATCCGTGAAGAGATAACTTTCGCAGGTGCCAAGGTTGTATTACCGAACCCGAAGCTACGTCCTGTACCACAGGTTTGCCAATATTTAATTACCTCCAAGCGACTGTGAGCCGATTCGGCGAGCCTAGCAGGGGTTGAGATGGAGGTGGAGGTGGACGTAGATGCCAAAGTTAAGGCGGTGGATGTTATACCAGAAGATCGGGAACTGTCTACCTTGTTGCTATACCGATCAGAACGTTCACGTTCCGTAGCCACCTTTGCGCGCTTTTTGAAGTATCGATTGGAGCGACCCGTAGCCTGGCCGTCGCCATTACCCTCTCGTTGTGAACCACCATAGAGACGAGCAAATTCGTTTTGACGACGCTCTCTTTCAAACCCATGAGATTTTCGACTGGCATAATCTGGTCGATACAGGTCTAAACTTCGACTACCTTCCCATTCATACCCATAGAGCCCGCGATTGGTATCCCTGTCTTGATGCTGGTCGAAGCTTTGACTACCCTCTCCTTTGTAACCACCACACTCGCGACCGCCGCCTTCTTCCTTCTGAGAATTTCGACTACCATCACCCTCATACCTACTGTATGCGCGGGTCAGATCGTTGTTTGGTCGACGACCTCCACCGTACAGATCTGCGTTTCTGTTACCCTCTTCCGCGAATTCGTCGGCTCGACGAGGATTGTCGTCACTCCCTCGATGTTGTAAACCCAAGTTTCGATTACCGCTATCTGCAGACCTATCTAGGTTGCGATTACCATCTGCTGCTGCAGTTGAATGACTATCGAATATCGATTGAGAGCCACAAATGGCCTCGATCTTGATGGCAGGTACCTCATTATACGATTTATCGATATCGTAATCGACAAGCTTTCGCTTGTTTGTCGTCATATTTGTATATATTGTTGGATGGGGTCGAGGAGAGGAGCAAGAGGGGGGGTCGAGCGGTTATTGAGGTTATGTTTTTTGGAAAGTATAATCCTTGGAGGTAATGATTTAAATTGTCACTTATGCCTACGACACCAACAAAGAAGGGCTTTAATTCGGTACGCACCCTACTCGTGAGAGAAAAAACAGGTCGTAATTGGCCATTTAAGTCTTCACCAGAATCTTTCAATTAATTGAATCACGAATTGAATAACAAATAAAACAAATAAATATGGTAATATCATGTTAATTCTCAAGTTTTAATTGTTATGATTTCTATTAAATCATATATTTTATTCTAAATTTGAAGCTAAGAATTAGATTATCGAAAGTTAGGGTTAACCTTTCTCCTCTTCCTCCATACTCTATTGTAGCTTATCTTTCTCGAAGCCTTCCCTAGCAGCTCCTTCTTCTCTAGACTCCATTACAACTCCTCTTCATCGAAGGCCTTATTTGCCGCGCTTTTCTTCGAGGTTTCCGATAGCACATGCTGCTCCCTCCCGTTTATCTTCCTTCATACAGCTCTCGACCTTATTACTCTAGCATACTAACACATACGGTCTTAAACTTAGATCTTCCTCTAAATTTCGACACGCTCCAAGTACTTGAGACGTACAAGAATTTTAACGTTGCCGATCACACTAATACATACAAAATCTTCGACTGTGAAAGCTGCATCGCCTCCATGGTGCCATTTTTCTTGAATTTTACGACCCAAAAGTAAGGTCCGCTGTTCAAATCCTCAATATTGAAATCAACGCAAAGACTAACAATATCCCCAGCATACATGGTACCCTCGGTTCCATTTTTTCGATGGTGTACCTTCGCCTATATTGACATGGATTAATTTACGGCTCTTTCGATATGCAGCGCTTCTACATCTACAACGTTTCTGAATCTGCGACCCTTACAACATGCAGCCCTTAAATTTACAATCTTTTGAACCTGCGGCACTTTGAGTCTATCACTCTGATTCTTCAATACTCTGAGATCCAAGACGTTTCCGAATCAACAACTCTTCGAATCTGCGGCGCTTTAAGTATATCACTCTTTGAGTCTACAATACACCTGGATTTGCGTCGCTCCTAAGCCTACAAGACTTCTCCATCTAAAATACATCTATATCTACAGACCCTTTGAATTGTTAGCACTACTAAACGTACAACGCTTCTGCTTCTACCTGGCTTCTGAACCTGGAATACTCCTAGAGATGCGGCACTCCTACATCCTCAGCCATTTGAATATACAATACTCCTGAACCATGACGCTTATCCAACCTTCAGCGTATCGCAACATTCACAACTTTCCTAGCATACATAGTACTCTCGAATCTTGAGGCTTCGTCTGTCTGTACGTCACAGTGTTGCTTATTATTTTGACAGAGATCCTTCAACAAGCGCTCTCAAATCATCAAGCCACGCCTTGATGCCAAGACTCGTAGCTCACCCCAGCCTTTCACAGCAATCTTCTTCGCAAACTTTCACACTTGCACAACTTATTAGCATTCATTGCTATTAGATAATCACAGGTTCAATTCTCAATTTTTCACTCCAAGCTTTCCTCGCACCAATTCATCTCCACTCTCTCCAAAGTTTTATCACCAGCCTTTCGTGCAAGCCTCCAAGTCAAGATTTCACTCCAATCGTTCACTTCTTTCATTCCCGCATTATCCATCCTGCCTCGAAATGTCAAGCGTCTACCTCCTTTGTTTCACAAGTCACATCAAATCTTCTTTTCACTCTCTTCATCTTGGCTGTCTCCAAAGTTCCCACTTCCCTTCACTCCTCACTATCAATTTTCCACATCTGTCATCTCAAAAGTCACTCCTCCGCCCCTCACTTTGACTCACCTCCACGATTCACAACTTCTCATATTTTCCCCTTTTTATGCTCAACCATATGTATATATACCACATCACAAGACTGTATTGGTTCATAAGTTCCTTCAGAAGTGGAAACCCCTTGTTTCAGGCTATTCCAAACGTACGAAATCGAATCCCAAGAGGATCTACTTTCTATATCAGTGATTATTCCCACCTAGTACTGAGTTCATTATGACTTGATTGCCGGAAAGGATGGCTTTTGCTCCAGTCGGTCACTCTTCCCTCTCAAATTTGGCAGCTCCAGCGACAAACAATTTGTTATCCACAAAATACAGTGATACAAATATCTCTGTTCATACCGTGCCTACTACAGCTTCGGTCACCCCAGATATAAGATCTCTGTCTTCGTTGAGTAATATAAAGCTTTTGCAGGATGAAATTATGAGAATTTATAAGATGAATGTTGGCTCCAACTTCCTACTTATTAAATTTCTACATACAAATTACCGCATGCGAGAGCTTAATATGACAGGTACACCAAGTGAAAACTTGTCGGGACACTTTTCACGTGGGACAGTCATCTCCAACTGTCCGTTGATCCAACCCATCATTTGTTTCCAAATGAATTCTTTGTTATTGACACCACACGTATCATCACCTAGGGAGGACGCTGAGAGATCTGTGGATATACAAAGAACGGTTTGATGGCCAGGATTATTGAATTTTAGCCACCGTCACTATAATGATAAAAAAATTAGAGTTGTAGTCGTAGATAGAGATGATTATTCATCGGACAATTCTTTTTAGGAAATAGCAGGAGATGGATATACAAAGAGAATAGCCAAGACGAGGATACACTGATGTAGAATACACAGAAGGGGATAGATGGAAAGAGAAAGTCGGCAAAGTGTGGACAGAATCGGAGGGGACTGAAAGATGGGACAAAAGGACGGAACATATAACCACAAGGAATGTAGAAAGAGGACACAAAGGCGGATGATGGACAGAGGAAGAAGGAACGAGGAGGAGGAGATAGAAAGAGGAGAAACAGAACCAGGAGCTATAGAAGAGGGAACACAGGTGGTGGGAAAAGGAGGAAGGGGTTGAAGGGGAAAGTCCAATGAGATCGGAAAGAAGAAGCGGAGAAATAAGTAGAGGACAAGAATATGAGAAAAAAAACGAGAGCACATAGACAGAAGATAGACGAGGGAGGAAAAACAGGATGAGGATGTCCAAATAAAAAATCTTCCACATGGGATTCTGACTTTCGTAATAAACTATTGGAAGGACAAGGGAGTGTCTAGAGACTTCTCGTATACGATGACGATCCATATATTTAGACAATACAAATTGCAAGTTGATACATCACAGAACGTTTATACCATATCAACCATTTTCACTTGATCCCATTACTTGTTTTAAGATCGTCTATATAGTTTTCTTAACTACATATCTAAGTTATTTATTTATTTTTTTAGGTTCGATTTTTCCAGAGAAAGATGTATCATTTCTCCATATTTGTGGGATAGAGGCATCTTGGTTGGGGGTTCATCGATCAAATAGGTAAGCCTTCCGGTCCTATGCTGATATCTACTTTTTTCACTGACGATATCATATTTCAGAACTTCCAGAAAACCTAGATCCCGCATTTCCAACCAACCCTACTGATCTGCCAGCCGCCTGTGCTGTACTGGTAAATGTGATCACCTCAGAGACGTCCTCCTATCGATTCAGACTGTTCTTGCCCATTACCACCTGTAACGAATGCTATCTAACAGTCGACGACGGCGGATTTTCGGGCGTCATCAACTGGCTTGACGTGGGTGCTGGCGTGCGCTACGGCTTCGCAGTCGCATCCACCGACATGGGACACAACTCAACCATGACTAACATTACCTGGGCTCTGGGACAGCCTGAAAAACAGCTCGACTTTGGTTTCCGTGCGACCCATGGCACCATTGTCATCGTCAAGCGACCTACTGAGACTTTTGATGCATCCAAGATCAAGTATCCTTACTACTCCGGCTGTTCGACAGGTGGACGCCAGGGCCTCAAAGATGCGCAGCTCTTCCCGGATGATTTTGACGGCCTGCTCATCGGAGCTCCGGGATAGTGGATGACACACTTTCAGACGTGAATCGCGAAAGTGGGATTGTACAATTTGCCCAAAGAGGCTTCCAACCACATCAATGCCTCTCTATATCCCTCCATCGCTGCGGATATTGTTGCTCAGTGCGATGCATTAGACGGTGCCACTGACGGTACCATTAGCGCTCCTCACGAGTGTAGGCTCGATGTGGATCGTTTGCTTTGCAACACTACCAACATTTGCATCAGCGCAGAACAGAACAGGCGCAGACTGTACAGAACATACACTCGAACTACACTATAAACGGTCAATTCACGTTCCCAGGCTTGGAAATTGGATCTGAAAGCGAATGGAATGTGTTGTTATCTGGTCCTGAGCCCGCACCACTGGGTTTCCAGTACATCCAGGACATGTTGCTTGATGATCCCCAGTGGTCGTGGCAAAACTATACAGACTCCCTTGTTTCCTTGGCCGATGACGAAAACCCTAGAAATATCACTGCCGACGACTTCGCCGCCATGTCCCAGTATTTTTCAAACAGGGGTAAAGTGCTCATGTACCACGGAATGGCCGACGGGTTGATTCCAACTGGTAGCTCGACATACTTTTACGAGTCAGTCGCCCGTGAATTTGCAGGACACAGCAGCATCTTTAAGACTATATTTCAAACAAGACGCTGTCTTTATGAATTTACGATCGCGGGGTTTCAATAGATTTCAAGATATAGGGTCGAGTATGATTCAGATTCTCAGAATGTTTAGAATCACTATAAATCATAAACAAAAATTTTCTACAGTCCACGCCCCGTCAATGCTTCCTTGATCAAATTTCGGAAATTAAGCACATTTGGAGGGGTCATCACGGTGAGATGGGTTCCCTTGACAGCATGAAACTTAAGACTTCCCACGAACTCTTTCCATCGCTCTATATGATCGTACGGCCAACCCCATCGCTCATCGTTGACTGTCGTATGAAACACATCCATATTCGTTACATTACCTACGGGGTCATAATCCATCCCAATAACCTTGAGTTGATAGACCAATTTGGCCCAATTATCAAGTTTTTGACTAGTCATTCCCACTTCTGCCACTTGAGCAGGGTCGGCCTGCTCGAGGAGAACATCGAGCACTTCTTCGTGTGATTTTCGACGGATATACTCCGAAACGGTGATTATGTATTCTTCTTTGATAAGACCCATAAACATTGCGATAGCTAACACGGCACTATACCAATCACAAGTCTGTGCCCACTCCTTAAAGTGCGGTGGTTGATCGATAACTCCCAAAAACTGTACTGTGTCATTTTGTGCTTGTATCGCCTTGGCGATCTCGAAGGCTAAGCTTCCGCCAAAGGAATAGCCAGCTATAGCGTACGGTCCGCTAGGCTGTACGCGCTTGATTGCAGCATAGTAGCTGCTGACTATTTCGTCAATGGATGAGAAGTACTCCTCTCCATCGAATCCTCTCGCACGAAGAGCATAGACTGGTCGATCATCGATTAACCGCGCAAGGTTTAGAAAAATCAATACATCTCCGATCCCGGGATGGATTAGGAAGAGTGGTGTCTTAGTTCCGTTTGGTTGGAGGACACTTAGGGGGTTGTAATCTTTTTTCTTTTCGTTGCTATCCTTCTTGCTTTCCTCCTTTAGTGCATCCAATGCCAGGGCCAGATCACGAATGATAGGATGCGCAAAAAATATTGTCATTGGTATAACCATGTGCATCGAGTTTTGGATAACACGTTGTAGCTTTAATAAATCGATTGAGGTAATTCCGATTTCAAACAGTTCGCTTTCAAGGCGGATGTTGATTCCCAGTTGACTCGATTCCGCGGTCAGAAGATCGTGAAAGACCTGGAGCAAAAGTTTCTGAGTCTTGGTCTCTGCATTCTCTTCCATAGCCTTCCGAGAGTTTTCCATAATGACTGTGTCCCCGTATTCATATTCATTATATAGGCCGTCTTCCCACGCAAGACGGATTTTTGATCGGGAAAGTTTACCCAAGGAAGATTTTTGAAGCAAGGTCCCTGGTAATCCGATGATTTTAAAAGGTCGAGCGCCACAGTATTTCACTACAGCTTTCGATATTGCGGTAGCTGTGTTTATGCGAGCATGGGTATCCTGCATCGGATGAGTCGGAAGGTAGGCGACACAAGGCGTCTCAGTGGGTGAGTTCTTCGGCCGATACGCCCAGACGGCAATGAAGGAAGGGGTAATTCCAGGAATACCGACATTTTGGACGGCAGCTTCTATACTTTCAGACGAGTAATTGTTACTGTATCGGAATCAGCAATAAGCTACGCGAGAGTGTAAAATGTGTTACACCGAGCAAAAAGCTTTGCTTTTACAGCAAGGGCGCAAGAAGGAGGAAAGGCATGACACATACCCATTGATTACAACCATATCTTTGTTCCGGCCAGTTAACCTCAACCTTCCTTTTGAATCTAGTAATCCAACATCTCCAGTCTTGAACCATCCATCCGATGTAAAGGCTGCATTTGTAGCCTCTGGATTATTGTAATATTCACGGAATACAACAGGACCCGACACCTCCAGTAGTCCTACCTCATTCTTTTCTGCTATAGTTCCATCATAGCGAGAGATTCTCATCTTTACCCCAGGATTGGCGTCACCAAGTGTACAAAACTCCTCCCCCTGTGTCACATCATAACACGGGCAATCAACAACGTTATGAATACAGCCCGCACATGTCTCTGTCATACCAAAGCCGGGACGGATAACAGATTTTGGTGCGCCATATGAACTCAACTTAAGTGAAAGAATTTCACATGATTCAACAACATTGGCCTCGCCACCAGAGAGAAGTCCCCGAAGAGAAGAGAGATTGAATACCGGCGGTCCCTTTTTTGAGTTCTCATTCTCCAAAGTTTGTAAACTACGCACTAGCATGGAAAGAAAGAAGTTTGGTGCGAATGTCATACTGACTCCATGCTTACCAATCAGTTCCAGAAGCCATAAGGGATTCGCGAGAAGGTCTCTGCTGGCAATATGTATCTGTTGTGCTCCTATACTTATGGCATGCAGGTGCATATCTGTCAGGTTGGCAACATGGTCCAGTCCAATCCAATTCAAAAAAACATCATCCTGGCCAGTATTGTGTTGAGTGCTCTTGTTATTAACGGCAGCGATGATCTGGTCGTGCCGTAAAGAAACAGCTTTCGGATTCCCGGTGCTTCCGGAAGTTACCATGAGAGCTGCTAGAGTTGGTAAAGATTTATCGAGGTTATCGTCAATGGAGGATTCATATTTGTCTTTACACTTCAAGGACTCAATTTTATCTATACAGCCTTAGTAAAGCAATCAACAAGAAGATGAATTATTTGCAATTGAGTGAATACTCTTAATGTGCTGTTAAATTAGCTTTAATGGACAGCGACAGTAATCAGATCACATCTCTGAAAAAAGACATTTTGTTTTTATACACTTACCGACTACTAACAGATAACTGATATTCAGGCCATCGAATTCCGAACTGAGAGCCTCACTTGTAAGAACAAGAGGATCATTCAACAGCCCTTTCAGATATTTAACGACTCCCCGCCGGGGTTCAAAATCCTTTGCAAGCGGCGGGCAAACACATGGCACACCTCCAGCTGCCGTAATTGCCCAAAACCAGGTAATACTTTCCAAGTGATCTGCGAAATACATCAACACCACTTTATTCTCGACATCCGCCAGCCGCCGGAGATGCTTCGATAGCTGTCTAGCCAGCAGTAGCAGCCTCTCATAACCCAAAAAGGTAATGTCTCCTTCTTTGCTGGAGTGATATACCAGGACACCTTTGGCATGGCCTGCGCCATTTCTGGCAGCATTCTCAAGAAGACCAAGGAGATTTTTATTAGACATCCTTGAGATCGAATCGAGGTGTCCTGAGGTAATTTGGGTGCGATGAGTGTACCAAATCAATACCAAAAAATTATTATTGGAAAGGTATTAGCAAATTGACCCAGAGGTGATATTATCGCAGTAAATAGGAGGGATTTTAGGGAATAGAGGATGTGTGACAAGTGTAGGACTCTGAAGATGTGTGAGAATGAATCTATCTAAAGAACTAATTATAAAGAAAATCGGAGGTTTATATTTTCAAAATAATAGCAAAAAGGTAACACACTAGATAACATCATTGATTGCGGAAGCTGAAAAATATTCAGGGAGTTCAAGCATGCAACCCATCGTGGTACCATGGATATGATACGTCATCTTCACAATTTTGCTTTCTTTACCAATATACATTTGTCACCCCGCAATGTCTCAACCGCTGATTAACCTGACTTGAGTGAGTATTCTATTCCACTGTCATACTCGGAACTTAAATACATGCTCGCTAACACGGCAGAGAAAATAGCGAGTTTGTTGTCTCACAAACCTTATGCAGTAAGGGTTCTGCCGCTCTGAATGCGGTAAGGCTAGTCTGTAGAGTGGAGAAAGAATTGTGGAACAATAACTACGCGGATTGCAGATCAGATCATCGGTACTTGGCAAATATGTGGATTACATGGTTGTAAAGTGAACTATTGATCTAATCAGAGCTGAAAAGCTGTTGTGGATCCACGGCCTGGATTTCCTGAATATGCTGCTCATTGGTGATCATCCAGAACGCGTGGGCTGCGCGGACAAACCGCTGTGAAGACAATTCGACCTCATCTTCGGTGACTGGAGCAAAGCACAGGCGAAAATATTTCCACCCTTCCTCCTCCTTCACCGCATTTGTGGGGCTAAACATGTGGCCCGGTGTGACTAGGACCCGGTGGGGTTTCTGGAGCATCATCATCCAAAATGCATTCGAAAGTTCCAGTCCGCGGACTTTACGGTAAAGCGGGTGAGTCTCAAAGTTCATACGAATCCAGACGGACATGCCACCACGAGGCCAGCGGAAGGTGTACATCGAATCGGAGTTTGGGATTGCTGCTCCACTATTAAAACCCTCCGGGAATGGTGGGAGCTGCATGCGTCCATCATCCAGCGTCTTGCACATTCGATTCATCCTGCTCTCATACCGTCCCCTTAAGCCCTCCAGCCAGCGCACCCAGCCGTCGACTTTCCAGCCGGTGAAGGACGCTTGCTCTTTCTGAGACTTTTTCCCCGCAAATTCTGCTTGCTCTTCTGGCTGGGAACCCATGAGCAATCCGGCCATCATCGCCTGCACAAATCCTGATGGTTGCCCTGTAGATGTTTCCGTAATTCGTAGGAGCGACTCAATAATGGCAGGCTGTGCCGTAATCCAGCCTAGTCGACAGCCTGGTGCTACTGTCTTGGAGAATGTATCCAACCGGACGACTCGACCGTCGGTATCAATATTGAGATACGAAGGTTCCAGGCTATCGATAAATGGAGACCCGGATGATTTGAAGAATGGATGTTCTTTTGGATTTTCTGGCGGAGGGAGACAGCGAGAAGAAGGTTCAAGACTTGTAGCCGACGGGTATTGTAGTGTGAAGCAAGGGTCATCTTCGATGATAAGGACATCATATTTTTGACAGATCCAGTAAATGGCTTGACGGCGATGGAGGGGAGAGATTGAGCCGGAAGGATTTTGACCCGTGCTTCATTCTATTAGAATAGAGATCTTATAGAAGCGAAGAGTGTAATCTCAATTTCTTGGATGACTAGGCAGTGGGGGGAGGATTTACTTACGGAATGGTATAAAGCAGATGGGGTCTTTTGCCCTTACTCTCGTCCCAACATGATAAAACAGACTCCAGCGCAGATGGAACGATCCCCTCATCATCAATCTCCACAGGCACGATCTGTAACCCTCGGGGCTCGGCCGATTGTATCGCATGCATATAGGTGAACTGCTCGCATAGTAAACCTTGTCTCTCTTTTACAACATCATATCCTTCACTCCATGTATTAGTGAATGCTTCGAGTAGCTGCGAGAATCCATCCGTACTGCCTGTCGTGGGGATAATCTCTGGGCCACCGAGGTAGGGGATATTTGGATGGAGAATTTGGCATGTGAATTGCTTTAAAAAAGAGTGTAAAGGGGGGTATCCATGCGCGGTGCCATATTGGAGAGCCGTGGTTACATCAACCACGTCATTTAAGTCTGTCGACTTAGATATGTTAGGGATAATGACTCGTAATGAGGTATTTGAAGTCTCCTCGTCGATATCACTAAGCTTAAATCGAGCTGGCCGAGCAACTTGAGCTTCAATTGTGTCGAAAGGAAAGAATGAGGCGTCAGGAAAACCTGGAACAGTAAGTTACAGTGTCTGTGATCGAACGATGGAAATCATGGAGAAAGATGAAGATAGTGATATTACCTGCAGATAAATTTCCAATGCTAGGGATGTCAAAATACGAATAAAATTGTTTGGTACTGCTCGGCTTTCTTGCTTGGGTGGTTCGAGAGAAGTGGTGAGTGAGGTCGCTTGGTGGCCTGGGAGTAGCGAGAGCTAAGTTGGACTTCCCATCATCACGTGATCCCGTAGAATTGGAACTAAGCATGATTAGGGGAAGAGCGAGAGGGCTACCAAACCACGAAGTAGATAGACGAGACAGGCGATGTGAGAAGTGAATTTGAAACCAAGTTCGTTTCATAAGTACACAACGAGCTGTTATAAATTTAAGATCGTCTAATTTTTGAGTTGGCAAATAGAAACAGAAATCTCGTACTCTTAGATTACTTACTTATCATCTATTTAGATCGCCACTCTACATGAACATCCTTTGGCATCTAGCATATGGCATATCACGAGTCACAATATAATACTACGGAGAGTCCACCGATCAATTCGAAGCTTCACCGCTCCCAAGATTAGATCCAGCAAGAGAGCTGAAGTGACCTACGTACCGATGCTTTGCCGGATAATGATGGGACTAGGGCGAGTCGCTGCGGCTGAACGTTAAACTGAGAGTAGTAAGCGCATAACATCCGTGCGGCTAGGAGGTATGCAACTTCGACGCTATGAAAACCAGATTTGTCCTCTTGTAATTTATCATCTTGTGGTATGTGCATCTAGCGTCGGACCTGCATACTTCTTGTCCGCACGAGTTGTAAGCTTTCTTTCCCCTATATGCACCTCCAAAAATCAGGTTCAATGACTCCACCTACTAAGCTTGAGTTGATGTCGATCGTTCAGCTGAATGCATTTTGTGGGAACGGCAATAGGTCATTCAGCTGAATCGTCCGTAGTGTGATGTAACTTTGTTAAATTCACATGCAGATGGACATATTACGCTATTCAAGAGGGTTGTTTCGCCTGCCGCATTCATGAAAATAATATATAAAGAGGGGAGAAGAGTTATAGGAAACCAAAATTCATTTTAGATCAAACTATAGTCTATCTACATCACTACGAAGTAATATCGTCTCTCAGTCTCTTTCACCTCACATCAGAAAAGCCACTTCATCTATACTTACTATGTCTCAAAACCCTCAATTTACTCACTCAGACCGGCTCGAGGTGATTAAGGGTGACCAACCCTACAGCTCGAGCGCAAAGTCACTTGTTTCATTACCTGCCGGAGCTCTCTTTGCCAAAATGGCCTCCGCAACGGTTACGGAGCAACATACATATACCAGTGTCGCAACGGGAATTAACTCGCGTATTGAATTGAATTCAGACCTCGTCTTCTGCAACCACTCCTGCGACCCAAGTCTAGTGTTTGATATGAATCAACTCGAAGTGCGTGTGGTGGATAATCGACCCTTGGAGGTTGGGGGTGATCTCACATTCTTCTATCCCAGCTCGGAGTGGGATATGGTGCAGCCTTTTCAATGCGGATGCGGTGCTGGGCCGAACAAATGCCTGGGTTATATTAGCGGTGCAAAGCACCTGGACGCCGAGTCACTAAATCGGTATTGGTTAAATAATCACATTCGGGATCTGTTCGATGAGCGAGAAAAGAAGCAGGAAGTTTCGCAGCCGGCAGTGGCAAATGCTGTGGCTGTATCGTCTTGAGTTGAGAGTAACCAAGCTACGGGACAGAGCTGCAATGGATGGATGTAAGGAGTTGATTGCTAGTAGATGATGCACGGATATCGTATCGAGATGATCTGTTAATGCCAATTTTCATCACATTTCATCGATAGAAAAGAAATAGAAGAATTTGTGCAATCAAGATGTATAAATGAAGAGACTCCAAGTCATTTGTGTAACAATACAGAAGGTTTCCAAGTCATATATTTCTCATGTGTTGCGATTCACGTTACCAGCTCTGAGCTACGATCTTTAAGAAGATCAGCCTTTTAAAGAGCAAGACTTTTGTTTTTATTGAGAGCCAGAAAAAAATCGCTAAGCTAAGTGCATCTCGTTTCGAAATTTTACCCGAAAAAAGCTCGATCATATCGGTATACTCTTTCTGTTTGTATGAGAAGAGTACAGATAACATAAAACCTACGTTATAGATCCTGATTTCTGATATAAAATCCTGTCTAAAGAGTTAACTATTTAGAGGAAAATCCAATTTTTATACTAAAGGCTAGCTATCTCGCCCATCGCTTAGTATACCACGGTAGTCTGATGACTTAAGATCAATTACCTATATTTATAAACTAGAGACTCTCGTTTATAATCTCAAGTCATATTGCTTGTATCTTTTCATTGAAAACTCCTAAGAAATCCGGGAATCTTATAATTTGCTTAAATTTATACATATGATCTATATTTCAAATCTTATTGAATATTGTGGATACACAAAGTATTCAAGAATTGTAATTTTGATTGTTTTGGTATAAGAAGAAGGCACAAGAGAGGGATGGTCCAAAAGGGGAGTGTGCGACTTAACTACAATGAGAAGTAGATTAAGTACCCCTCTTCTACCTTTAGTTTCTACGCTCATGAGTGATAGTTAGTACGTACACCCTGAAAACTCATAGTTGTCATTACCAAGCAATCTTTGAAATAGTATTTATTCACTCTACTTGAATCAATCTCTTCCTTTCAACTACTTGACCTCTATGAATCATCCACGAATATGCTAGGTACCTATTGACTTTATGTTCTCCGCCATCACAACGATAAAACTTCAATGACCTCTGTAAGTACTTCCGCAGGTGTTTTCGTCGCATCCACTGGTAAAATATTCTCATCGATCTCTGGGTTTTCAAAAATCTGTATCTGACCCCCAGTCATTCGCAAGCTCATGTAATGATCTACGCACTGATCCACACGCTCTCGTAGCTGACGTTCCCCGTCAACCTAAAGCAGGATGAAAGTGGTCTCGACATCAGCTTTTGCTGTGTATCTCAGCCTATCGCGGTAGATACTTTTTAGGACAGAGCAGCTAACAACCACCGTATGCGAAAGTGCCACTTTCTCGTTGTATATTGAGACTTGATGAAGACGTTGTAAGCAACTCCAGCGATCCTTATCCGTGAGTTCAATTCCAAATTTCATTCTTTCGTGTGCTTCGGTGCTATGATATGTATCGCCTTAAATGGGAGGGCAAAGAAGTTTTTGAGCCGAGGCAGTTGCAACGGTCGATTTTCCAGATCCGCATGGATCGGCTATGATGATTATTTTGGCTCCAGTCTTAGTTGTGTCGGCAGAAGCCTTCCAACTTGTTTGGAGTAATCTGTTGATGATCTTGCTGATGAGCTTCTTCAAGGGTTAGGGGAAAGGAACGGACTAGTCGGGTATCATATTGGAGACCTTGGCGCACATCATTGTCGTTTTCATACTTGTTCGCGAAAAATTCGACTGGTTTGATGGGGTGATTTACTACTGGGTCGGGGTTTGAGCTTCTCAGTCGACTTGTTATCCACTCACGTTGGCCAAACTCCTCAAAATTTAGGCCTGCTTGGTGAAGTCCAGGAAGAAGCAATCGTATTCAATAGATTGGTTCGTGAGCTACCAAATTCACAATATATGCTGGCGCATTCGACAAAGAAATTGCAACGATATGAGTGAATATTACCCTAGCGAAAACATCACGAGATAACCTCTGAGTAGAACAAAACTCTGTGATGAAGTTATCTTACGCGCAGGTGGAAATATTTATTACTTGACAGTTCTTATTATACGATTTTGCCACTTTAGGTAAAATCAGGTCAATTGACAGTGACGACATTTCAAGAAATTTCATTGATAAATGTATAGATTCAACCCTAACTATTATTGATACAGGTATATATCTCTCTTTTCCTATAAACATGTTCAGCTAACTTGATTTTAGTTAATAGTTTAATCATGAATAAGGCTCTGTAGGTAAACCTTCAATTTTCTCGAATACACAAATCTCATTTCGATCATCTGGGATGCACGGATTTTGGTTCACTCAATATATAGCACTATACGCAATATCCACTTTCTACATCTACACAATTCATCATCATTTGGAAGCATCTACTTTGGTTTCCAAGTCGGGAAGGCCATATCTCGAGGTGGTAAATCAATGTCAAGACTCACTTTCTTGCTTCGATTGCTCTTGAAGGATCCACCATCATGTCATATCACTCTATGCTTATCACTCGACTAAGACAAAAAGCCCATAGTGTGGCTTATCGTTTGGACTTGTGGCCTAAAAATTCCGTGTCAGTATCAATAGAGGGTTAGGCTAATGTTGCTACAAATCCAACGGTTGAGATGGACAGTAGCGAATCTACTGAAGACCCAGAATACCACGCCCAGCACATGCAGGATTCCATGTTGGTTAAAAGCCATCAGCGGCCAATGTTGGGAGATGATTCCTTGAATATTCAACCTCTAATTGACTTCAACACTGAGAACCTTAGTTGGGGCTTCATCGATCAAATAGTTAAGCCTTCCGGTCCTATACTAATATCTACTTTATTCACTGACGATATCATATTTCAGAATTTCCAGAAAACCTAGATCGTCAAAACCTGGATTTCTTCACTCTTTATAAGATTTTTTCTAGGCTACTCATAAACATTTCCAATTCATGAATAGTGCGACTCAATTTGGGGCTTAACCAAACTGTCTGAATGTGTTTTCTAGACCAATCTTGTTTTTGGAAGATATTCCAGGCGTCTTGAATATCCGTGGGAGTACTTGGTGAGGATGTCGTAAGCGACAGAGTCGTCGAAAGTGGAAAGGCATCCACCATGATTTAATGAGGAACAAGTTTTTTGTCCAAAGTCAATACATAGTGAGTACAAATAACGGGGTTCCCTGCGCGTCAGCGCAATTCCTACTTTTATTATCAGAGTTGTGGACAACGGTTTTGTGGAAAATTTGAAATACTTGCTTCAAATCCGAGAATCAAATCTTCAATCAGTTTACCTGTGAATTTTGCCTCTCTGTTGCTCCAAGTATTCTATCTATTCCAACATTTTTTCTTCACTTCGATCTCAATGAGCAAACTCAGCAGAGAAAGCTCAGGCTCATCTTCTCAATGTTATGCCCTTTATACATACATGCTAGAGACGTTTCTCGTCTAAATTTCTTGATCTCCAAGTAGAATTTTGTTCATTTCAGCTAGGAATTGCTAAAATTTGTAATATTTTGGTAATGTAGTGGCCTTGATTTGGATGTCAGTTCAGTAGATTTCATTTCCATGGTTTGAATTCGGTACAACAGCTAACTCGTCAGGATACATAGACACAAAGTTTCTTGCAGTCATGACCTCTCAAATAAAAAAAACTACACCAACTCAAACTCCACAACCTCGTCTTGCTTTTCCTGTATTGCTTCTCCATTCATATAGCCATCCACGAAACACTCCCCAACAAATTCTACCCGTCTTCTAAGAACGTCACTCGTACTAAGCTCGCTACCCCCATCTTCTGATCTATTCAAAACTTCGATATCATGAACGAACCGCACAACATAAGGTATCGTTCCTCCAAACAACACAACCACACAGTCCCCCTCCTTTGCTGCATTTGGACATATCCCAGACTTTTGATCTACAGTCCTGAAAAAGCACCGTGGATGACACTCTAGAGCTCCTCCGTTTTTCCGAGCATACGACTCATGAGTAAATATATGATCATACACCAAATCAACTGGAGGTATCGGGGACTCAAGTGGTACCTCCAGCCCACCCTGAGAACTTGAAGAGAAAATTGCCCGTTGATTTAAAGGATCAAAGACCCGTTCATAGTGTTCGCGGTGTGAGTTTGAGGGAGCAGATGGATCCTGGTTATATAATGCGGCTATTCCATATGGAAAGGGTTCGATATCATGAATAATGCCGAGCACAATACCTTTCAATATGAGAGAATTACCATTGCTTTTCAACAGTAAGGAAGTATCTAATTCCTTGCTTCCCGATGCTCCTGGTCCTTCTACAAATGGTGAAAGGCCTAAAGTGGCTCGACCCCATGCACTCATTCCGTCGTACCACAAACTCCAACTCGTACGCTTGGAGCCACGGAAGCTGGGCGCATTTGCAGATAGTTTCTGCCACGTTCTGCCTTTCGAGCAATGGATTGCAGAAAGTATACGAAGTGAGCGATGGGAAGCAATCCACCAGCGTGTGAAGTCGCGATATACGATCGCCACATCTTTCTCGTAATTCGGCCGAAGGACATCGAGATGATGGTACTTTGGTCCTATAAAACCAAGCAGTGCAAATAGTTTATCCCGGGGATCCGTAGCTTCTAAGCTGAATCCTGCTACCACAAGATCGAGAATATTTTCAGTGGGAGCTCGTGGTGCGTATCCAAATCGCGTGGATATATTACTGCATATATTATCGTTTAGGACTTGAGTTGGCCTTGTTAGTGCAAAGAGACTAGAGAAGAGCGGCGGCATAGCCTTGTGATACTGTGGCGCTGGTTCTGAAAGGGTGCGTCGCACATTTTCATTGATTTTCAGAACTAATGACCAAGAAAATGCTCGATCGCCACACCGCACCAAAATTCTGCGAGCATTGAAAACTTCCTGCAATACCCAGATGCGACTAAACCATACGTTTTCAAAGAAGACCCGGACTCCCTTATACTTTGGGATTGTGTTTCTCAGCTCCTCTTGAGAGAGGTATTCTATATCCGGAGATTCTGTAGTGTAGTCATCATTCATACCATCTTTTTCTTCGTCGAATACTTTGAACAATCGTCCAACTTCCGCAGCATAAAAGTTTAGCGATGGTTCTCCCAGCCAAACTATGACCCGAGATGCTGCAGCATAGACTTGCCCCATCATTTGCACTTGCCACGACCTCTCTTCTAGGTTCTTCTGATTAATACAGAGAGCATCCACCCAAAGATTTTGAGTCACGCCATCATCAGTCCGCAATCGATGTAAAGCATCGAATAAGTTCGATGTGACTTGAATGTCGCGGCCGGCCAATTGAATCGTCTTGGTATGCTTGGGATTGCCCCAGCAATACGATAGAGCCTCGAATTGCGAGGGATACTCACATTTGAGCTTCAGGTGCCACAGCGTACAAGAAATTTTGGTTGAAGGGGGACCCGGTTGGAGACGCAGAACCCTAATTTCACTGAGTGATTGATTCAGAGGAACGTAGAAATCCTCGGCAGTCAGCGTAAGTGGTGAAGGAATCGACCCGTCTATTTTCTTTCCGCCCATTTCTTCCAGTTGGCTTTCTTTACTTTCCCCTGAGATAGTAATTTCCGCTTCCAGGACGAAGTTTCTCCAGGCCCGGTAGTGCGCTTTGGGGATGATTTGTATAATATCATTTTCTCTCATCTCCTGCAACACCTGCGTAAGGAATTCCTCGTTTTCCGCATCTGGCCACGTACACACATGCGTAAAGGGTTCAATCATAGCATGTCTGTTTGTGCAGATCAGCCCGCGCTTGCGAGTATGGCCTTCAGGAGTAGTGATAACGCCGTCAAAGAAACTGCAGCATTGCTCATAGGTACCGCGATATTGATCTTCGACGCCGCTGAAGCCTTAGATACGTTGTTGTCAATTAATTGGCATCTGAATTTTTGGGCTCGACGCCAAATCAGGCTCTCTTGTTATCTTACCTTGATCGTGTGATGTGGTTTTAAATGTGATGCTCTTTACGTTCGCGAACGAGGAGGGTACTGTAAATTCTATGTAGGCCTGCTCGGGACAGCCAAAGCAGACGGTGACGGGCTTCGACTCTCTTTTTGTTTGCGTTATTAACTTAGGTTTGGTGTTCGCGGACGCCATGGTGGGATTGATGTGTAATGACTGCTTGGATGCGATACTTGTAGAAGCCGCTGATCTAGGCACTCTTTTAAATGGGGCATGTAAACCGTCTACTTTGATACTAGCGCTGATATCATCTTCCATGAATTGAAGATGATATCGCAGCACTGTGATTGGATGGTAGTGCGATGAAACGACAATTCTAGTGGAGACTTTTCGGCTATATATTATCTATCGAATAGAAGGCTGCAACATAATCCGGTAATGGTTTTCTGCTGGGACAATTCTCGTTTCGTGTTCTAGGGCTCAGGTTATCATGATTTCCTGCTTGATGTCGACACGAGAAAATATTATGGCATCAATAAAAAGCCTGGATGAAGTAAAAAAACACCAATCCCAGGTCCCTTTAGGTATCCGTATGACACCAAAATTTCCCGTGAATGCGGTAATCCAGTTTAAATATCCCAAGCTTGATTTGCATCAATTCCAAATGTTCGGATTACCACACGAAGAAAGGATTTGCGCTTCAATTCGTAGCCAGGAATAGACGGAGGACATCAAATTTAGTGGTCTACAACTACTCAGATGATGAGATAATATATGCTTGCGGCTATTCCAGGTCCAGTTCATGTGGGAAATCATGAACTCGAATTACCGCAAAGTTGAGATGGACTAGGTTGATTGCAAAGCGCAGGAATGAAATTAAGCATCAACTTTAACTGTCATCAAGTCTCAGAAATTTGGGATAATGTTTGTTAATGGGATAATTTCTTAGTAGTGTACCAATGTCAACAAGTGTGAGACAGTTGGGAGTTGCACTCATCGCGAATTTGGTATGAAACACGATAAAACTCGAGGCTGAAAAGCCAATAGCAAATAGGTTTCAATCAGCTCTAGATCAGCAAATGAGATAACAGTTTTTCTCCATTGCGATAATTTGAAGATGTTTCTTGAATGCCTCTGATACGAGATCGACTTTCTGCATTTGAAGATTGTCCCCGATCAGGAATGTCTTCCAATGAAATTGATGAATATAGATGACATATAATAGGTGCATCAATAATTCTCAGGTATCTCCGCGACTTGTTTATGTCCCTTTTATAGATAATCCTGATGCGGTTGCATCGACTCTTGAGTACGCAAAGACTTGAAGGACCCGGATCATGCTTGGCCACGAATGCATTGCAATGAGTCAATAATCAGATTCGAGATGAAGTACTTCAAAGATATCTAGACCATTTGATTGAGCACTAATGCCTCTGACAAAGATGACCGTCTATGTCATTCGTTGGTTCGAGGAGCCTGTGGCTTGCTTGTTCGAAGGTCTTCAACAGTCTGGACTGCATTTCAACGACGAAGAGCTTTAATTGATGAACTCCATCTGAATATTGGCTTCGTTTTAGATTTTCAATTAGATTCGATCATCAAACTAATGAGATCTTCTTCAAATATTCCTCAACAACGTTCAGCAATATGACCTGCCAATTCTGATGATGACAAGATGTAATGTAAGAGCACTGCTGGTGGTGAATTGATGAAATGGGATTTTAATTCAACATCTGAACAATGGGTTATCAAGATGAGGGGCCTTGAAGATCTCGGGCTAAAATAATTGCAAATCCGAAATACAGAACGAGACACAAGTTTGATAGTACACATATGACAGTTGAGATAGCGTCGGAGACTGTTGACCCTTGCGTGTGAAGAGTTCCTTTGGACGACATTGAATCAGTGTTAAACTAATTGGCCGTATCTGGTACAAGAGTTCGATGCCTGTAATTATCATGGTGCGGATTTTAGTTGAGAAAGAAGGCGCACCTGCTCACTAGACTTGGTTATCAAACATCATATCAAACTGGAAGATTGGGGTTAAAAAAGTGCAGCAGATTGTATTGTTCGAGATACAAGATACGTAGATCTGAAAGCCTAACAATTCTCTTGATAAATTCTCACCAAAAACGACATTGTTCTCAGTTCAAGCTTAACTTTGACTCTCTTCACCTTCGTTTGTTTCACACTGGAGCCGTCCTACATGCTTCTCCTTCTACTCTGCTCTCATTTCATGATTCCAAGCTATCAGAAACCTCTTTTTGAGTTCAGGATTATCAAAATCTGCCCCATCCAGTGCACCCAGGCTAGAAGCGCCAGCCAAAATTCCTGCCCCACCCACACCGGCACCGATGATTCCACCTACAGCAGCACCTCCCATAGCGGCACTTTGACACCACGCAAAAATACTACCTGCTTCGACAAGGCCCATACTAGATTGCCAAGCTGCTGCTGTGGAGCCAGCAATAGGGCCTGCAGCTGAAAATCCAACTGCTCCAAGGACTGGTACTGCGACGACGGACGCAATGGTAACAGCCCCACCTAGAACTTGGAACCCAAATCGGTAAGGATGATTTTTAATATAGCTTCCGATTCCTACTTGGGAAATAACAGAAATAAAGGTTAGACAAGTATATCGTATAAAATGGACACAAAGGTTATGTAAGAGATCAAATAGGAGCGAGGACAATATTATGTAGGCATACAACACGAATAAAAATGAGCAACGAACCTTTCTTGCGTAGACTTAACATTTCTTGTATGAACCCTGGACACAAGCATCCTAGGATCTTTGGAGTGATTGGTAGGTTCCAAAGATCTTCGGGAAAGCTTCCTATAGCAATGAGCCTCTGGATTTCCCTGCCGTTATCTAGACCTTCATCTACTTCATGGAAAAGCTGGTGGCCTAAGATAACTTCGTATAAAATACTACCTAATGCGAAGAGTTCTGCACGCGCGACTCTTTCTTCGGTGGTATTAAGTCTGTCTGAAATAGCTTCCGGAAGCTGGTAGCGTGTTGGATACTGCATCGTTGTCATCAATGAAGCTGGTTGGTTCTGGAAACGATTCTCCACAGACCCGTCGACATTTAATTGGAAATCAAAATTGCGGACGTTATTACGATCGCTAGCCTTTTCATCTGTGAAGAATAGCTTATGTATCGAATGTGCCCATTTTAACCTCAAGTTGGATTGACGACTGGGATCGAGCTCTTTGCAATTCTCTTCATAGACTGGTAATCGAACTTTGCATATTGCTCGCTCTGACGCCTTCATTCTGTTCTGTATGTTGGGTTATATGAAAATGAATATTTCGTCTTGAAATCAATGTAGATAATCGTGAAAGAGGAATGCTCGATAAAATAGTCGACTCTTATAATTTCTTACAGCGTTACGCGTGATGTAAATGGCTTAGACAATGCGGGGAAGGATGTTGTTTTCTGCCCCACCCACCCACAGCTATTGGATGATGAGTCGAAACAAAGGCCTAGAATTTTGTGGGGGCCGTGAGTAATATTCTATAGGTTGATATATAGGCTATAATTAGTGTGGAAAGATCAGGTTAGCTTCATCGCAGAATTCAGAATAGCCAATCGGTTTCGTGGGGATACCGAGATGTGTTATCGGATATATGCTTGAGTAGCACACGCCTAGGCATATTTTGGCGGCGACGCCTCCTGCTTGATGGCTTAAGTTAAGTAGTAAATAGGTGAACTTGAACTCGTTAAAGGATTTCAGATGTAAAGGGCAATGATCACTAAATATAAATGAGGAAAATAAAGTGTGAGTTTGTGGTTTGATCCGTTTGTTGCTCATTTGATTTTATCTTGGAATGAGATGACTTGAGAGAATTTCCATCACTTTCTCAACACGAGAGTCGTTCACTCTTCTCACGAATTGAAGCTACAGTCATGACTAAAGACCACTCCCAGCTCATTTTTGGTATATGAAATTTGATTTAATACTTTATCTGAGATATAAATGATGATAGGGCTTCTTTGATACGGGATGATATTCGTAAGTATGATAAGTATGGCTGCATCGATTCGAGGATCAATGTCTCATCCCGAAATCTGAATTTAGCTAAGAGATCTGAAGTATATCCAACAACTCGGATTTACGTCACATAATGGATAATCAGATGTATGCATTGTGGTCCTCCCTGCACGCGGCACCAGGTCGGATCAACCCTTGGATTGCTACCCATTTCATCGCAATGGGAAGCTGATCGTCAAGACGTCCAACCTAGCCCACGTCAGTCCTAGCGATAACGCACCATCCCTTAGTTTGAAATGTATTTCGTTTACACTTGAGTAATCTCCCACTCATCAACTATTTCCACATCACCTCAATATGCTGATTCTTATCTGTAGAGTAAACTTCACGTCAAATTTTCAACACGCTTGGAAGATCCACATTAAGCCCATGATTATCAGAATTTCTGGACACTTAAAATTGGTTCGTCTGGGGGAAATCTAAGCAAGATAAAGCAAGATAAAGCAGGAAGGATAGTTGTCGTGATTGTCCAAGCAATACTGGAAACGATAAGAAGCCTCGAACCTCCTTCAGCATGGGTTCTGACATTATCAAAGAATCCTTCAAAATCGTGAGCAGAATTGTCGTCGACATCATCACCTAGCTCCTGCCTAAAGGTGGGTAGAGAAAATGATGGCGAGGGCATACTTTCTAATTCAAAACCTCATTAGTATTGCTATTCTATGCATTGGCCTCACATTCGACAGTTTGAATGGATAATAATATTTAGAGTACTTCAATGAGATGAAGTTTGATTGGCGCAAGTAAACAGTAGTATTTCATATGTAAGATCAATCGGTGCTTGATACTTGGTGGCAGGCTCACTCTACCCCTTTTTAAGAATTATAAAGCCAGAAACTGCAAGTTACAACTCTTTATGTCTATACATGTGCCGAATTGGGCTCTGTCGTAAAATATTGTAACCATTCTACACTTGCCCAACTATTTCATTAAACTTTAATCAATTATATTATTGAACAGTACGCGGGGATTAAGAGGCAAAGCTTAGAGCAGATGGCATTCCACATTGAGCAGGCTACTTAGGGTGGAGAGATGTTGATCTCATCTCTGAGGAAGCCCCGAGGTATGACGGGCTTAAGATTGGTGAAGTTGCTAACACAATCCTGAATAAAAACATAAGTGAGTGCCCTCGCCATGTGTATCGAATATGATGCACTCATGAGAGGACAAAAGAAGAGAGTGTGGAAGGTTGAAAGGGAAACTAGGAAGGAGTTGTTTGAACAGTAGTTGGGGAGCTGGTGTCAGGTCCTTTATCAGAGGCAACTTCCGGTAGACATTCAAAAATATTGTGTTCAAAATACGAGGTTCCTTCCGGAATCTTGATAGTTGTATGACTCTGGGATGACCCGAGGACAGGCATTCGGTGGACAGAACTGTTGCTACCAAGGTCAGGGAAGTTTAGGTTTTAATATACCAAAGGTGGAGGTCTTACAAAGCTCAAGGCCGTCGCAGTTCAAGGCCGTCGCAGTTCAAGGCCGTCGCAGTTCAAGTTTGTTTTATATGAATGCTATAATGTTTCCATATCTCAAAAAATCACCAAGGAATGAATGAGAGTAGAGCCGATTCCTGTGATGTATCCAAATTTTGATCACATTTTACCAGCTCGATACAACCTTAAATTATACTATCATGAAACTGCAATGAGCTTATAAGATCCCATGAGCTTGATTTCATCTTGCTAGTTGTATCTCAGAGTACGCAACATTACAAGAGAGTGAGGCATCTATTCAATGCCCCAGAAAGAATGGGTCGTGATGATCCACCAAAAAAATGAAATGAGAAGTACTCCTGAAATTGGCGCAGGTTAATATTGAGCCAGGTACCTCACTGTCCCGAATACTTTAAGTTTCAATGTTGACCATCGGAGCTCGGATGAGGTGCATCGCCTGTCAAAACAGCGAGCTGGTAAGACACTCATCCACACTCGTAGAGCCAACACGCACCGTTCTCTGCGTGGTGTGTGGCGTTCCAAAGTCCACATCTGCTTCGAATTGCCTGATTCCCATACCAGAGAGCAAAATTATCTGCTCGCAACTTCGCAACTTCGCAACTTCAGAGGAAGGAATTCTCCGTGATCAGAAATTCATAGTGTAGCGACGGCTGTAGGTTTTACCGCGCAAGAGCCTGCACTCTACAATCTTGTGTGACCCTGCTTAACATACTCACGATATAGTCTGCGTCTGCCAGGTTTGGGCATACGCCGGGTTGACCCAGATACACCTTTGTATTTTGACAGGTAGTCGACCTACGACATGTCTATAGGGTGCGAGTGCCTATTACCAATCTCTGCAAGAGTGGCTCATCGAGACCAAGTCAGGAATGGAAGTATAACAAATTTCCGTCGTCTTGAACTTACGTACTGATTTAATCTCATGTTAAAGATACGGTATTAAGCACAATTATGACTGCAGTAAACCACGGGGAGTAGTTATCTACAGCTCATTGACGCGCTGAAACGGAAAAGAGACATGTCCATCTTCATCAGAATAAATTTGAATAATGAAGGGCAGTGCTTTTATCATTCGAGTAGAATTTTAGACGCACTACATGGGGCTTCCGAACTAGCATGACTAGTGTAACTTTGCAGATTCTGCAATATCCTCACAGAATGAGCACATTTACTCATGCAGGACAGATAATACTGGCATAAACTATTGCACGGGCATGAAGATTTAAGTCAAAACTCGAAAAATCAGATTTTTATCTCTACTTAATTTGAAATATTGCACAAGTATCACGACATCTCAATAGCTTCATGGCGTAACATTTCTACTGTGGGGAAAATTGCTTCCGTGCCTCAGGTGAATCAACCCCATCAATCGAACCACGTCCAAAAATAACGCGGGATGCAGATTATCCAATGATCTGCATTATGGGAGATAATCACGACATCCGAGTTATGTATGCGTAATTACATATACAACATTCAAAAAGGTTAAAGTAAAATCAACTCGAGAGCTGAAAATGAGATTGATTAAAATACCCCGCACCACTTAATCACTTCTTCCGCTGTATCTGTTCCTGAATCCTCCATTTCTTAAATACATTTTTTTGAGAAAAATGACCGCCCCAAGTACATCAAGTTCTGAGGATAATCTCTATTCAGAATATCATCAAAAATTTCAATCTGCCGTACCTCAAAATGAAGAAGAATGGCTTTCACGAGCAACAGAGATTTCCCAAATCTTTTCAAAAGACGCTGCAAAGAGAGATATTGACAATAAATCTCCTCGCGGTGAAGTGACATTATTAAAATCGTCAGGACTGTTAAAAGTTTTGGGTCCAAAAAAATATGGTGGCGGTGGTCAATCATGGGATATCGGATACAAAGTTATAAGAGAAGTTGCGAAAGGTGATGGATCATTGGGTATGCTACTTGGATATCACTTGCTTTGGTCGACAACGGCAAATGTTGTGGGAACAGATGAGCAGAAAGATCGATTACAAAAGGAGATAATTGAAAATAATTATTTCATGGGAGGTAATTAAAGTCATATCAAAGTTCAGAGAATACACTGACACTATCAAACAGGTGCCGTTAACCCAAGAAATTCAGATTTGAGTATCAAATCAGATGGTGATCACATTGTGTTCAATGGACAAAAGCACTTCAACACTGGTGGAGTTGTCTCTGACATAACAATTCTTGAAGGTGTGTTAGAGGGAACTGGGAAGCATATCTTTGCTGCGGTGCCGACTAGACAACCTGGAATTCAATTTGCCGTAAGTAGGAATATCGATGAAAGTCTTGCTTTAGCAGCTGACATTAATATATTAATAGCACAATTGGAATAACATTGGATTAAGACTCACTGAGTCTGGTAGCGTCAAGATTGAAAATGTTAGGGTTCCCTGGGAAGATGCATTAGGCTGGAATGCTCAAACCAAGGAACCACTACCTCAAATCCTTACTGTCCCTTTCGCAACCCTACTACTTCCCACCATTCAATTGGTTTTCGCAAACTTCTATATCGGAATCTCTCTTGGAGCTGTCGAAGCAGCAGCCAAGTACACAACGACTTATACGCGCGCGTGGCCTTTCGGCGGAGATAACAAAGACAGTCCAACAGAGGAGTGGTACATTCTTGAGCGATATGGCACATTTCACGCACATCTATCGGCAGTTGTAGCTTTAGCGGATTCTGTGGGTAAGAAGTTGACAAACATATATGCGAAACATCAAGACGAACGATCAGTTTCTGCACGAGAACGTGGTGAAT